CTTTATCCGTCATTGTTGACTGGTTTAATGACAGGAAACCATGTTGATCATGCTGTAAATCAAAATTTTTTTAAACACATAAGGAGTTATAATTCTTCTTTATCTTTTGCTTCCTTCACTGCCGAAATAGCTCCTCCCTCAAATAATGGCCCTTTCTGTTTTAGGGTCTGTGGGCAAATTTTGCATCGTGTTGGAAATTTAAGGCCTGCAGAAGGTTGTCTGCCCAAATATTGTCAGCTGTATATCTATGATCCTAATGCAGCAGTGTCATTCAGAATGGAACAACCTGGTAATGATGGTTGTATACATGAGTTAATGCAACTCTTGCAAACATTAATTAATCAAGAAAACCCATTTGCTCTTGCATTTAAAAACATGGCAGAAGTAGAGGATGAAGAAATCTGCCAAGCAGCATCAGAAGGTAGACCAACCTCTATTGTAAGAATGTCTTTGCTTGAAGATCATGATAGACGTCGATACTTCTATTCGTCGATACTGCTTCTTCTGTTACAAGTAAGTTGTTATATTCACCTTTACTTGACTTATTACATTGATTGATTGCTTTTTTGTTTTTTAATATAGCTACAAATGTGCTTTCCAGTTTAATTAGTTAATGTAATAAGTCAAGTATTAGTGAGTAAAATAAATAAGTTGTTGTGCTCACTTGTACTTAATTTATTACATTATTTGCTTTTATTGTTTTTTTACAGTAGATTTTTTGTAAGTATTACCTAGGTAGATAGTTGTATTTATATATAATTTTTTTTTCAGGCTCGAAGTCATGGGAAGATTTCCGAAAGTATCGCTCCCAGCATCCCTCAATCTATGAGGGCCTTCCATCGCTGGTGTTTGTATGGGGACGACCATCCCTCCTTTAGATGGAGGGATGGCACCCCATACAACACGGGGAATAGAGCGGATGCTGGGAGGAGAAGACAACGTGGCTCAAAAGTTGTCAATAATTTTTTTACATTTTAAAATGTAAAGAAATTGACAACTTTTAAGCCACTTCAATTTTTTTTTGTAATTTTTTTTTTGTAATATATTTTTGTAAATTTATTTTTGTGTTGTTTTTTAATTTTTCCCATGAATGTTAAATGTTATCAAAGTAAATCATTTAAATAAAGACACCTTTATCAACAATGCTCATTAACTAGAAATAAAAGTCACGGTCATACATTTGATAAAGTTAATGTTAATCTCAAAGGGATTTGGTTTTCACACAATCAAATTCTATGTAGCACCTTCCAGAACTAAGAATATAAGTGTGTGGTGTTAGTAGTTTAAAATATGTATAATAAACTCAGAATAACTCAATAACCCTCAACAAAACTATGAACTAATTTTGAAATTCAAGTTGAGCTTTTTTATTTATTAATACCTCCCCTCCCAATAACTCTAATTTTCCTTAAAAAACTAATTTTTTTGTCCTTTGAAGGTGGTTCTGCTATTTAATTAATTGTTGTGATGTTTTATGCAAATAGATTTAGCTCACATTCATGTTGGTCTGTCAGGGTTATGTAAAAATAAAAAAGTAAGTTTCTTATTCGCATTTTTGAGTTTTCAAAAGTATTGATTGCATGACATGTTAATTTGTAATTAATGTGTATGATTATGCGTTTAAATAACTTTGTTCCATTTTTAGTTCGGTTTCTTATAGCTGACTTGATTATGGCTTACCTAAAGCTTAATATTTATGAAACAATGATTCAATTTAAATTGTATTATAAGTAGCTCTGTTGAATAAAATTTTTTTTTGTAATTTGTACTAAAGGTTATATTTTTATTTTATATCAAGAAAAATATGTTTTTAAGTAAATATCTATATTTTTTTATTTTGGGATTTATTGTTTTAAATGGATATAAAAATCATTTTTGCTTTGTCTTTTATATTTCCTTTTATTATATATGAATAGGAACCATTTATGCTTTAATCACCATTAGCACTCGAAGTTTCCATTTGCATTAAGTATCGATTTTTGGCACACACAACAGGTTTAATAACTTAGGCAGTAAAAACAGTATGAATGATTTGTTAAGAGTCTTTAAAGAAACGCTTTTACGAAAAGCATTAAATAGATAAAGCTAACTTATTTAAAATAATAAGTCTTTAACCCGTTTTTCTATATCCAAATTTACTTTTTAAATAAATGTTGATGAAAGGGTAAAATATCGTTATAGCCTACGTTAATTTTAAATTCTTTTTAAATTAAAGGAAAGAGTTTTGATACTTATTTAAATAGGGTTAATAAAATATTTTAAATTATATTATATATATTATATTTAAGAAATTATTAAACTAAATTAAATAAGATTTTTAGATGAAACAGTAAAAATAATTGTTTAAAATACGTGCGTGCAAATAATTCCTACAAATACTAAACGTAAAATAACGCTTACAAACACCAAAAGTATGTTTGCAGTGAATAAAGTTAAGTTCAAAGATAAATAGGAAGAAATGTTTAAAACTGTTTCAATAATAACATTTATTTTTAATTACTTTTGTTGTAAGTTGGGATGAAAAAAAAAGGTCACTGGAGTATGAACTCCCGGGGTGAGATGACTATATCTGTCTAAGTGTTGCGCGTCTACCAATTAGCCCATAAACGTATTTTCTATTCAGAATTTAAGATTATTTATGACGCATAAGAAGTGTAATTAAAAATTCAAAACCAAGTTTGCAACAACTGAATTTAAATAAAATCTAATTAGATGTGTATATGTTATGAACGTTAACTAAGGCGTACTTTAACGGCGTCACGTGTTGAATGTTTTAGCATTTTTCTAAGTTCGTAGTCTTTTTTACGTTTTTTCTTATTAAAATTTTTATAATCGGCATAATATTAAAATCGTTTGAAGTTTTTAAAAAAACATTTTAACAGAAATGTTTTTGTCATATCAAAAAGTAAGTATAGTTTTTTATATGTACATTTTTAAACGGTTTTAAAAAAATATTGAGGTAAGGAATAAGTATAGAAAAGGTCGGTGTGGAATAGATTTACTAAGACCCTTAGTTTACGCCCGGATAGCTATAGATAAGTATAAAAATCGTCGGTTCGGTAAAGAACCGTATTTTACGGGTCCCCCCAGCTAGTTTATTATAAATAATATATAATTTAATATATTTAATTTAATCTAATTAATATAATTGAAATACTACTAATCAATTTACTGATATTTTTTCTATAGCATTGTGAAAAATGGTTATATTCTGAAAGGTAAAGAAATTTATTGAAAAGAAAGTTGCACAAAAGAAAAAAAAAACTAAATAAAAATTATTATATAATCGTTTCAAAAAACGTTTTACGAAGAGTTTTTCCAAACAATTTTATTTTTAATTGCGTTTTTTTTGAATTACGTCATAAGCATATTAAGGCGTTTTGAAAAACAGTTGCTGCATATATTTAAAGTAAAAAAGTTAATGTAGCAAAACAAACTTTTAATTGTCAAAAGAAAGTTTTAAAGTTTTATCTAGCTACAGGCTTTTTTTTTTTTTTTTGCCTCCACAGCAGCATCTTCTGAAGTAGCAGGGCTGTCTTGTTAAGTTTTTTCTTTATTATGTTTCAGACAACTTTTTTTTCAGACCATCCGCAGCTTATTAGGACTAATTACATGAGCACATTAATAACATAAGTGTCTCAATTATCATAGATACGCAACATATTTTTTCTCCTGGTGATGTTTTTTTTTTTTTTAATGTTTTATGAAGTTTTAGCTTTCTTAAAATCTTTTCTTTTGTGAGTTCATAACATCGTTACGTTACATATGCTTGCATATAATCTTTATAAAACTTCGAAAGTATTTTTATTTTAAAATAATTAAAAAAATTAAAAAAAATAGCCGCTATTGGTAGGAGTTGAACCTCTAGTTCTTTGTTCAGAAGTTCGCCGCCTTATCCACTCGAGCTACACAGGCATATCATCAAGAGTAGATTTTATAATAATGTAGTAATTTTTTTGAGGAAAAAAATGTTAGATCAAAATTAAGGAGAGGTTGACGCAATGTAATTTTCAAGTAAAAATCAAACTGTAAAACATGATAAATGTTTCAGTATGTTTTAACATATGCTTTAACATTACTTAGTTTAAAGTTTACGTACGTTAGATATTCGTTCACGTATTCTTATAGTGCTGCGACTCTTTCTTGCTAATACCTCGGTTGCAATGGCTGCCAAGGGTTTCGTGTCAAATACGCTCCAAGGGACACTACTATTAAGTTTGGCAATATTATATAGAAGATATATATATATATATATATATACATATATATATATATATATATATATATACATAGTCCCTGTATATATATATATATATATATATATATATATATATATATATATATATATATATATATATATATATATATATATATATATATATATATATATATATATATATATATATATATATATATATATATATATATATATATATATATACAGGGACTACTAAAATACCGGGACGCGCAACTTCGATTTCATGCGATTTTGACGAGAGGGCTGAAAGTTGAATATGTTCGAAAAATTTTTGAAGTTTAACACTTAAATGATTTTTATACTAATATTAACAGTTATTCAGAGTTATTTTTTGTTTCTCATTAAATAACATCTTAATCTCATAACTCATTAAATTTATGACAATTTATAGTTAAAAAGGAATCTTATTTTTATAAGGCCTGGATTAGCAACTTTAATCTTTAGTTAGTAAATAAATTGATCTTATGTAGTTAATCAAAGGATCTTATGCAGTAAATAAAGGGATCTTATAAAATTTAATTACTTGAAACCATTTAAATCATTTCATTAAAAGTTAAAATAAATTCATAATTTATTAATCTTCAAACATTAATAAATATAAGAATTTTAAATAATAAATATAATTATAAATATAAGAATTTTCAAAATTCAACAACAAAAAAAGTAGATTATCTAAAATGATCTAACTTCTGTGTTAAAACAATGTTAACAATTTTAAAAAATAACCATTTTAACCACATATTGCATGTTGTTTGATTTATTTGCAAAACTTTTTAACTTTGTGGTCTTCAATATTTAAAGAAACTTTGTCTGACGATTCATTCAATTTTGTTAGACCCTTGAAAAAACAATTCAAAATGGTGGAAACAACTGTGTTGATTGGTAATGCTTGTAAATCAAAAGGTAAAGCTGTATAGAAATATATAAAAAGTTTAGAAATGTATCTAACGCACTGGAACCGCATCTCTGCATTAGGTAATAAAATAAAAAGAGAATACGCATATCTGACATATTGAAATAGATCCTCAGTAGGGTGACATAGTCGACCACAAGATACTAACTCAGTAAACTTAGATGCATTGGTAACAAAGGTACCAGATACGGATATACTTGGTAAAAATTTATGCTGGACATAACCCGAAATGTAATATAGGGCAGCATTTTCTTCTTCGGAAATTGCATCAATTGAAGAGACAGATGTATCAAGATAACTAATGTCATCCTCATTCAGATCTAATTGACAACACTCTGATTGAATAATTGAGCATTGAGAAATAGCTACACCCATAGCATCCAATTTACTAAACAACTTCAGGCGTTGTAAACGAAGACTATTTTTAACTTCTTCAACCGAAACATGATATTTGCCTCCACAAAGTTGCCTGGCATAAAAAAATCTAAACTATATATAATTTGAATTTTATTTAAAGATACATACGAAAATTAGTGTTCTTAAATGTAGGGTCAGAGTGGTGAGGGGGGTTGGGAGGGATTTACCCCAGAGCCCCTGCCACAAAAAATACATAAAAATTTAATAAAATACATAAAAAATACATAAAATACATAAAAAAATACATAAAAATAGTTATTTCTATGAAATATCATTTTTGATGTTACAAAATACCAGTTATTTCTAAATAAAAGTTATTTCTACTTATAACCAAAAAATATGTGATTAAGGATTTAATTTATTTTTGCCCCCGGGCCCTTCAGTGCCAGTCTGACCCTGCTTAAATGTAATAACAACAATATCAATCTGATCATAAATAGGTAAGGAATTATTTAACTACCTGTATATTCCAAATTCTCCTTCTAACCGATCTGTCTGAAATATTCCGGGAAGAACATATTGATGATCTTCATTCAGCAATTTTCGGATTAAATCTACAATTCCGTAAAGCATATTCGAAAAAGAAATTTTCGTTTCACTAGTGAATGATTTGTTCCGCTTCCAGCCCTTTCCTCCTGGCATTTTTGCAACAGCTTAAGCAAATGTCAAAATCTCTTGAAGTCGGTTATCATTTACATTTTTGTATGAAGCTCTATTTGGATCATTTAAACGTATGTCCATACCTTCTTTTTTAATATTAAGGTAATTCCATATCAATAATATTCTTTCAAGGAACTCGCTTGTCTCTTTAAAATCACAAATTTTAAGGGCTGCTACAGTCTTCTCATTAACAACAGCACACATATGGATGACATTTTGTCGATCAATTACACCTGGATGAATAGCTTTGTATGAAAGATTTGTCAACTTGATAACATTATTTTTTTCTTTTTCATATAAAATTACCAAATCTTTCAATTACCCTTTAAATAATTGACTATTTAGTGTCAGATGAATTGTTCCAGTTTTTTCTGTAAGCCAGTTATTTCGAATTGACTTAAACAAGTGCATCGGATCATGAAGCATTATTATACTTTGGTTGCAAATATTACCAAGCCATGGCTCATTTAAACTTAAAGCAAAAAATTGATAAATGCTACGATTTGTGGGAAGATTGTCTGAAATAAGGCATAAACTTTCTCCACCAAGTTTAGCAACTGTCTGTGTGATTTCAACAATTAAATTTTTTACAAAAATGCCAGATAGCTTATAAACTGGGGCCATACGACACACAAAAGCTAGTTTTCCAAACATTGGATTAATCATAAAACAAAGAATTGTCTTGGCAATTTCAGCAGGATTGTCTTCACTATAACCAATTAAATGACATCCACGAAAACGTATACTTGGTTTCACATACATTTCATCAAATAGCAGGCAGCAACGGTTTTGCGAAATAGTTAATGTTTCAAAGACGGTTTTAATACATTCTTCACATTCCTTTTGTGTTCCTATTTCACCGATTCTGCCTAATTTTAGTTTAAGAGTTCTTGGATGTGGGAGTGAAAGTGTATCACAAAGAATTCGATAACAGCATCTTGAAGAAAGGTATAGTTCTAAAGCTCGTCGTACAACTAGCGTAGAGTAACGCTTGCCTCTCACAGGCATCATCTGCAGTTGTAGTTGTTCAATCAAAAAATTTATTTCATCAGATTTTTCTACATATGTACATTCAATCTCTTGCAATAAATGTTTTAGTTCCTCCCCTAATTCAGGTTTAGATGACTTCATTCTTGAAATAATTGCTTCTAACTGCAACCACCGAGTGAGTTTGTGAGAAAACCCCAAAATACCATTGCAATGAATTTGTGTGTGTTTGATATAAGCATGTAACTGTTGAGTGTGAGTATTGATTGTAACAGAAATATTAGTTTCTGGTGGACGCGAAAATGTCATATTAAAAACAGTCAGATCCAATGCATTTGTAACAACAAAATAATCAGGAAACCTTGAAATATTTAAAAGAATTATTTATTAGTAATACTAACACAAAAAAAACCTACAAAAATTATATTTAATTAGAACTTTTCTTACCGCTGCTTTACATCTGTAAGAAACTGTTTGACTTCAAAATTTTTTATTTTATCAATCTTGTTGAAAGAGTCGAGTTCATCACAGAATAAGTTTCTTGATTCAATTGAAATTTTTTCAAAATTTATTTGACGGAATGTTTTGCCTGTTTGTCGTAACATGAAGGAAAACACCCAGGAAATAGTGAAGGAGGATCTGATGGAATCTAAAAAGTTTCCATTGATTTTAGATTATCTATTTAATTTGAACTAAATAAAGCTTACAAGTTTAACTACAACATTGATTTGAAATTATTGTTTATATATATGAATTCGACTCACCTGATATTTAGATCTTTTTGGATAGTGCATACTACACCCCAAAGGCCAGTGCTTTTCACAAACACCCATATTGTTTGTTGGTGATTGAATTTTATTTGGTAAAGCTGCTAACCATCTTTCGCATAATTCTTTGTCACTTGGAAATTTGTAAACTTTAACATGCTCATTTGCACTGTCATAATTTCCACGACAATTACCTACTGAGCATTTTCTAGGCATGTCTGTAATGGTTTTATAAATTTATTTTTTAATAGAGAATAAAATTAATATTTTTTAAATATTATAACCTTAAAAATAGGTTTAGTTTAGTACAATAATAACTTAACATTCTTATGTTTTTTTGTACTCAACTTTATTTAGTACTAAAAAAGTTACTTTAGTGTAAAGTAACTCAAGTACCCCTAAAACTGTTAGTAATAGTTTGAAGACTTGATTTGCATCAAAACGTAATTATACTCAAAATCAAATAAAATCTTCGTACTGTAATAGTATGTTACTGTTTTTCATTTTTTATCATAAAATATTTAAGTAGTCATAAACAATTAAGCAAGTAATACTCATAAATATAATAATTAAGTAATTAAGTAAGTAATATTCATAATATAATAAGTAAGTAATAGTCATAAATATTTAAGTAGTATTTATTATTGCAATACAATCATCATATAAACATCTTAATAAAAATACTTTTACTACTTTAAAAGTACTATAAAAAGGCTTAAAAAATAAATTAATTAAAGTTAATACATTATATAATCTATATGAATCAACATTTATTGCAGCTTATCAATAATCTTTAAATACCACTCTTTTATTTAAGCTATTGACATTACATGTTGGTATATTGAAGGCGCTAAAGTCAGCCCTCTCGTCGATTTCACATCGATTCAATGCCGTGCGTCCCGGACTTTAAGTAGTCCCTGTATATATATATATATGTATATATATATATATATATATATATATATATATATATATATATATATATATATATATATATATATATATATATATATATATATATATATATATATATATCAGTGACAGATCCAGGAACTAATGAGTTTTAAATATTTTTGTATTTTGTATCACATTGCTTATATATATAAATATATATATATATATATATTATTTTAAAACATCAAGAAGTACAGTTTATATCAATACTAATAATTTTATTTTGTAAGAAATTTTCGCTGGGTTATGGACACCAGCATCATCAGCTTGTAAAATATTACAATTTTTTAATCGTTTTAGTTTATATAAAACTGTTACTATTGACGTCAGCGGTTGCATGGCTCCTTTTGATTTTTAAATTTTAAAAATGGCGTCCAAAACATAGTTTTTACAAATTGGCTTTCATCAAGATTAATTCCGCCGTTTCGTGCAGAGCACATGTTGTTTTGTATTTCTAGTGCCTCTCTAATTTTTCTTTCAAACTTTTTATTTTCTACTTTTAATGTTCTTGTTTTTACCTAAATAATATTTTCTTTGCAAAAGGTTTTATGATATCTTCAGATTAAAATTATTTTGTTCTAACTCTCCATTTGTTTAAACTGAGATAAATAAAGTTGAAGTTTTACACTGCAATCCAGCAGAAGTGGCAATACATTTTTTAATAATGCAAACATTTTTCAATACTTGACTATATGCTCATTATAATTATTTGTTGTGAAAAAAATTTTTTTTTGCTCAAATCGCTATTATGGCTACACCCTGTTTGGAGATAGAACAAAATAACTTTTAAATTTTAATTTCGTGTTAATATTATTTTGTGCTATCTCCATTTTTTAGTAAATACAACTTAAAAGTTTTGCGAGGAGTTGATGGATTACAAGAAAATACTTTTAATTTTGGGATTTAAAAGCAAATATAGACCCTAAAACACTTAGTTGGCAAATTTAAATGGATATGGTCATTTAATAAGTTTTCTAGATATATTGTTTCTGGTAGGATGGACAGCTTTAATTTTAACAAACTGATTTTAACCAAAGCTATATTATTTATAATAAAATTACTTTTATCTAAAAAGATTTATTGAAAATAAAAAATAAATGTCTTTAATACAAATAACAAGTTAAGAACAGTTTAAATGAACCTTGTACAAGATAAAACTGAATAGTGCATAACACAAATAAAGTATATCCGGATAAAGAGTTGAAAAAACAACTACTGAAATAATGTTTTATAGAAACAAACATCTACAGCTGGCATGTAAGGATACATAGAAACAATGTCTTTTATCTTCTCACTAGAAATTTCAATATTTTGTAGAAAACAAGATGCCAATGGAATTGATGATTCTTCAAGATTACTTCCTGATGATCGTGTGTTTTTTTGGCTTAAACAGCCGTGCCTTTTTATAAATATCTGTAAAACGAGTCTTGAAATACACATGACCAGGAGCATTAAACCTATATACAAGCGTTTTAACATTAAAGTATGGAATATTTTTGTAGTTCAGAAGACTAGCAATTTTTAAATAAAATTAAAAATTTTTAATATCGCTTTTTTGCATTTGGTATACAAAAAATGGTTTACGTTGGTTAACATTCAACATTGCTTTCACCAACCCAAGAGAACCAAATATTTATGCTGAATGTAATGATTTCTCAATCTGACTATGTATATTATCACATTCCTGAATAGAGCTGTGCCCTGGCTCACAATAGTTTTGCTCAATGATTTCAATATTTGGATGATCAATAAGAAACTCACGCAATGCAGCTGACATATGACTGTTTCTATTCTGTGGAACGCAACAATCAAACCAAAGTATAAATTTATTAATATTAGGAAGGTCCTTGTAAACTTTATTTAGCATACATACCACAGCACTGGCAATGTCATTACCAGAACGACCTGACATACCTTCATGCCATAATATACAATATGCTTTTTTGTTCAGTGAAGAGTGACCTGTTAAGTTATAACAGCTGAGCTTTCTTTTATAAAAGAAGTTTCCCACATTTTTGGCAAGCTCAAGACATTTTGTAGATCAATACAAACTATGGTTGTGGAAGGGGAGTTCAACTTTCGATCCTTATCTCTCTCTATTTTTGTTTCATTCTTTGATGCAATATGCTTGTTATACTTTTGGATTTCCTCTTCATTTGCATTTTCAATAATTTGAAATTTGTAGCATGTATCACACAGATCCTTTTTCGGCTTTTGAAATTCAATATTTAATTTTGTATTAAAAACATTGCGGTACATACATGCCTTTGCTGGTGAAACTTCATATTGAGTGCAATATGTTAAATACAAATTATAAAGTTTCTTCAAATTTAATGACCCATAAAAGTATTGTTTGCAGGAAATGCTTCGACAATAATGTGACTCAACTCGTGGAAACAAGTTGATATGGTTTTCTATACTCTGTTTAGTCATTTCAAAATTTTTTTTTTACAATGCTTCCCCCATTTTGTTGGGGCAGGAACACCAGTTTCAAGTTTATTTTCATGATAGTATGATATTTGCCTGCTGCTGATGTCTAATGTAGACAAATAAAACTCCTTACATACACGATGCTTGATATTATCAACAAAGAAATTGTAAAAATAAGTATATTTTCTCCTTGAATTGCTTACTTTATTGGTTTGAGATCTTTTTTTATCTAATCGTTCAGTAGTTTTACTAAAAAAGTGTTGCTTTTCAATCTGAGACATTCCCTACAGTCCATTAAATAATATTTTTCTCTCATCTTTTGAAATCTTCTCAAAACACTTTAACTTGCAACAGTTTTTACAACCTTTTTTATTTTTAATACTTCTTGGTTGAATAACTTTGCCTCTATCATTTAAATATTTCTTTCCTGATTGTCTAAGTCGCTTTCTTTTTGACTGTTTCCAGTTATAACAGTTTGCTTTACGTTTTCTTGTTTTCCCACCATGTGGAGGTAATCGCAGTTGATCAGAAATTAAAGGATGCGTTGAAACATAGGGTGTAACCATGATATTAGCTTGTTGTGGGTAATCTGAAAATAAAAATTAAACATAAAAAAGGTTATGCAATGCAAAATAATTTTATGTTTGAAGATATATTATTTTAAGAAGAGACAAATTTTTTCCATATATGAAACGATTCATTTGAGTCTTTATTTATTTAGTATATAAAACGTGTTGTATATACTAAATAAACAAAGACGTACGGAATACGTGAGGATATTTAATATACTGATGTATATGTCACATACACATACGATATATACATACATAAATAAAAAATATACACACATATAGTATATGTGTATCACGGATTATATAACCAATTCTGTTGTATATTTGACATATACAATAGTGTATATATATAACCATATATATTATAAGATATATATACACTGTATGTCACATACTAGTATACAATACAATACAATAGTATACAACAGAATCCGTCTGCTTTTAATTAGATGATGATACACTTTTACTAAAATAATATGTAGAATTATGAATAATAACTAAAAAAAGCCGATTGACACTAGAATATATAAGAAAATACCTATATTTTTGTTTATTACTCTAAGATATACTCTATTTTCATTCGCCATTTTAAAATTAAATTAGAGGAAATAAACAAATATAACAAAATAACATTAAAAACTGTTGATATTTTGCAAATAGAACAATCGGATACATCTGATTTGACACTATTTAAAAAAAAATTAATTTCAAAAGTAATACAGCTAAAAAAAAAAAATTAACAATAAAAAAGAAATTGGTATTAACTCATTTTTCTCAAATTTGGAGATAAAACAAAATCATTCTAACCTGACGATATGCTAATGCAGATTGATTAGGTTTGTTTTCATTAATGCTCTTCTGATGTTGATGCATTTGCGTATTCACCTGCGTTTTTGTTTCACCTATGTAGACCTTGGAGCAGTTGCATTTTATTATATAGGTTCCAGGGTGGCTGTTACTTGGTAGTTTTGATTTGTTTTTTGATGTTAATAAAGATCTTAAATTTGGGTTTGATTTAAATACTGCTCTGAACCCTGCTTTTTGGAATATTTTTTGAAGTTTTGGTGAAAGGCCTGGTACCCATGGTAAAGACACTACAGGAAGATTATTGTATTCTGATGGAATTGTGTTTTATTTTGTCTTTTTTGATGAAAATGGTTTGTAATATTCCGCAGTAGCTTTTCATCGTACACATTTTCAACAAACATGTCAGTTAAAAAATTTACTTCATTTTGAAAATGATGCTTACTACTGTTGGAGTAAAATCTGTGGAGAAAACCTTTAAATGTAGCTGTTAAA